AGCGCAGAGCCCTCCTGGCGTTTCCCCCACCTGCGGAGCCCGCTCCGCAGCCGCCCGCAGCCGCCACGCACACGCCAGCCAGCGCAGAGCCCTCCTGGCGTTTCCCCCACCTGCAGCGTCGCCTTCCCACCCACTTGCACACGCCTCGACTGAAGCGAAAGCAGAGCCCAGTCCCGGGAAGTCGCAGTGGCCGGCTCCGCGGTCCCAGGCGCCGGCGATGAGGCCCGAGCAGCTGCGCCTGCGGACGGGCTGCCGGCGCCCACGGCAAAGCGCAGCGCCGCTCGGCCCCGCCGCCCCGCGAGACTCCACCGCTGCTGACTGGGCGAAGCCCGTCTCGGGGCGCTTTCCGCCGGGTCAGTCCAGGCGCGGAGACCCCGACTCCCACCAGAACCCCGGGCTCTGCTTCTCCGAGCGCCCAGCCCGGCCAGCAGACCCTCCCATCCCGGGGTCCCTCGGGGCTGGTGGGCCTGTGCCCCCGCCGATGCCCAGGGTTCCGGGTCATCGCCCCCGACTGGCCCTGGCATGCTGGACCGATGGGGACGGCCAGGGGAGGACGCCACAGCCACAGGCGTGCGGCCCCGCCATCAGGACGGGGCGACGGGGCGTCCGGGAGAGCACAGGCGGCTCCGCAGGACACGTGACCGCTGGGCCCGGACAGCGGAACCGAGGGAGCCCAGGTGGGGCCGCCCCGGAGCCCACCCCGCACCCCGGTGCCCCCCCACAGGCTCCAGCTGCGCCAAAGGAGAAGACACGAGACAGTGACCGCAATAGCGACGCCCCACTGGCCCTGGGGGAGCGGCCCCGGCGGGAGCCCCAGAACCCCGAGCCTGGGCGTGGGCCACCCCGGCGGGTGGGGCGAGCTCGCAATAGCGACGCCCCACTGGCCCTGGGGGAGCGGCCCCGGCGGGAGCCCCAGAACCCTGAGCCTGGGCGTGGGCCACCCCGGCGGGTGGGGCGAGCTCGCGGCGCTGGGAGGCCGGTCTCGCGGGCAGCGGTGACTCTGAGCAGGAGCCGGATCCCAAGCTTGGGGTGCCCAGGGGCAGGCGGGCAGGGGCAGGCGGGCAGGGCCTCCCGGGAGGCCTGAGGGCAGGAACAGGGCAGGGGCGGGGGCTGCCTGCCGGGTGGACCCTAAAGGCAGACAGGAAGAGGCTGGGGTGGGGGCAGGACAGTGCGGGCTGCGCCTGGCTCTGTGGGCGGGGACCACCGGGGGGCGCCTCGGCCTCGGGGGAGCCAGCAGGGTGCCGTGGCCTCCCGGCAGGGCATGGAGCAGAGCCAGCGCCCCCAGGCCTGCTCGCCGCCTGCGGAGGGGCCCACAGCCCACACACGCCAGGTGCACGGAGCCCGCAGAGCCACCACAGGCCGAGGGCCGGCCGGCCTGGACTGTGCCCCCGACCCCCACCCAGCCGGGGGCGCAAG